TGAGCTGCTTCCTCAGAGGTAGCTTTTGGAGATGAGTTATACAGCAACTTCTGTTTGGCTGGACGGAGATCCTGCAGCTGTGTGCTGGGCATCAGGAGGAGGTTTCTGACTGTGTGTCACAGTTTGAAGGGCTCAGTGACAGTGGAGCAGGGCAGCCCTGCAAAATGCAGCCCAAACCACAGGGGCAGCAGCAAGTGTTTTGGCACTTTTACTTCTTCCTGTGGCAGGCCAGTAAACACCCAAGGCCAGACACTAGATCTGCTCTGCCCCTGCTGAATCTCCACCAGACGTGCTAACTAGCTCTCAGCATCTGTTCTGGTGTGACAGCTCCCATCCACTGAGGCAAACCCTCCTTTCCCAAGTGACCAGTGCTCCACAGCGCAAACAGAAACCCGGAGTTAGGGAGAAAGGCGGAGAAATGAAGAACTTTTTCGTGATGCTCAGCTCCCCTAGAGAGTTCTCTTAGTCTTGGCATATTTCCCACATTTTTTCCTCCCCTAAGGCACGTCACAGGGAAAGTGTGATCCTGGGATTGAGCACAGAACTGGAGCAGCATTAGCTGGAGCTCCTGCCAGCTACAATATGCTCTTACCTCTCTTGCAGATGGATGAGACAGGTCGGATCCTTTGCAACCTGTGCAACGTGATCCCTGGAGGTGTGGTGTGCTTCTTCCCCTCCTATGAATATGAGAAGCAGGTGTATGCACACTGGGAGAAGACAGGGCTGCTCACCCGCCTGGCAACTAAGAAGAAGGTGATTGTGCAGCCGGGGCAGTTGGTACTTTACATGGAGGTTTCAAAAATCAAACAATTACATATGCACTACAGGCCTCTCTCTCCGAGTTGTTCTCATACCCTGCACAGCAGAGCAGAGAGGATGTTTATCTGGCTAATCCCTCCAGTTACAAATAAATGGTACTTCCCGGGTGGCTGATCACTGAGCTGGGATCTAAATTAGACTGAATGCAGCCATACGTTTTTATAAGTGCACAGTCTGTGTAGTGGTCATGGGGGGAGACAGTCTTCGCTTTCCATCACCAGCAGGCTTGTTCCTGTGTGGATGGGGAGGCTGTTCAGATTGAGCTCTTACAGGGAATTTGTTTTTCCCAGGCTCAGTGTGTCCCTTGAGGGCTAGGCAGAGTGGGGCCACACTGCAGTTCATAGGAAAAATGGTGGTTTGCTTCCTGGTAGATGTAACACAGATGAGAACTGGAAGACCAGCAGTGGTGACTCCTGCTAAAGGAGTGATGAAACACATTAAAGAGGGAGATCACTGCAAATATAAAAATCTTTGCAATGACTTTTCACAAGTATTTGAAGATCAGGCGTACTGAAGATCAAGCAGTTCAGGGTGTGGTGCAGGGATCTTTGATCACATGCCAGGGGGGTGAAAAAGTTACATATACCCTGACTGTGACTTCTGTTTACCAAAAGCTCAATAACTTACCATGTGGATTAGGAGAGCACAGTCCCAGATATTTCACAGCCTTGGTGCCAGCATTCTGGCACATGGATCTGCCTGTAGGTTTTTGTGGTGGAAGCATTATGCTTCGCCTTCTCCACGTGTTTGTACAGCTACTATTCCTTGTGCCTTTCAGGTGTGTCCTGTCAGGGTCCCAGTGCTCTGGCTGGTGCCTCCAAGGTTTTGTGCCACAATCACACAGTTTGTTCTGCCTTTCAGCTCTGATTTATTCTTGTTTGGCCTTTGCAGTCTCCAGCAAATTGGATATGCGTTAGCAAGGCAGTTTGGTAAACTGCAGCAAGTGTGACTTTCAGCTGCCAACACACAAGACCAGACCATAGCAGGGGAAGGCTCAAGTCCTGAGGTGGCTGTGGTGACATCACACTGAGATTGTATATAAATAATGTAGGGAAAATTAATTTAAATCAAAGGATTAAATAGCTACTCTTCAATAAGTTAGTTTGGGCCTTTATTTGTAATTGCCAGTTATTTTTCTACTGAAGGACTGATTTTGACTGGTAAAATTTGATAGTACTTCTTGCCAACCAACGAAAAACACATCCTTTAGATTCTTCACTGTCACAGAGAAGACAGATGTTGCACCTCTTGTTTACTAGGAAAACAACTTGTGATTTAGGCCAAGGTGCAGCATCAATCAAAATACAGCTTAATTAATTGCAGGGGCTTTCAGTAACGAATTAGGCATGCAAGAATAACATAAAGATATATTACTTTATTTATGCATTGCATAAAAAGCTGATTTATTCACTGGGCAAGTGAAGCTATCACTTGGAATTAATTAGTGATTCAAATTGATCAGTCCTGTCATTGTCCTCCAAGATCTTGGAGCTGGAAAGTCTCCTCACCCTGGAGGATCTTGATTCATGGGTGCAAGAGGTGCACACTGCTTTCCTGCCTCTCAGCTCTTGGATAACTTCTAACTTCTTGCAGAATTAAACAAAGCTGCCAAAGCTGAAGGGGAATGTTGAAAGGGCAGGAGCAGCTGCTGCTCCCTTCATAGCCCAGCTGGAAAGTGAACATGCAGTGCATTTCCATGGTGGAGGGGAAAGGTGCTGGTTAAGTTGGTTTTTCAGGCAATTTGCCTTTCCCTGATCTCAGTTCCATATGCTGTTTAATGGTGTGAGAGTGAAATGATTTGCTTTCTTTAAACTGTTTGCTTCCTGTTGTTGCAACTGACGCCCTGTGTCTGTGACAGATCTTTCAGGAGCCTAAGAAAGCCAACCAGGTGGAGCAGGTGCTGGTGGAATATGCCAAGTGCATAAAGGTAAGCCGAGCTGGCAGGCTGGTGGGAGTGTGGCATCCCAACTGGTGTGGGAGTGCTGCTAAAGAGGGCACTGCAGCTTTAACAAGAGGGCTCTAGCTCACGTGAGGGAGTGTTTCTGAAGCACAGAAATATTCCCAACTTTGGTTTAAGTTGATGGTCCCTCTCCTGCAGCGCTGCAGCCAAGCAGGAGGACAGATGACAGGGGCCCTGCTGCTTTCTGTAGTTGGAGGCAAAATGAGTGAAGGGATCAACTTCTCTGATGACCTGGGAAGGTAAGGTGACTGCTCCTTCTTGAGGGGTGAGCTCTGGCTTGTGGTGACTCCAAGCAGGATGGTCACGTCAGTATTTGCATAGACAGAAAATCCTGGGCAGCACATGACCTCAGCTGACACTTAAAGCAACAGGAGGGTCAGCTGGGTGGTGTAAACCTGCTTGTCCAGGCTACTTTTCCTGTGAATGATGCAGTTAGGCTTGCTGTGCTAGACAATCCCTTGTTCTGGCACCCTGAATCCCTCTGCAGCTCTGTTCAGAACGTGCTTGTCAGACTGCTGTGCTTTATTGCTGCCTTTGGTTATCAGGGCTGGCTGTCTTTCGGGGGTGCAGTGACCTCTAATTTATTGGTCTACTGGCAAAGTGCTATAGGATGAGACACTAAGAATAATGCACTCCCTTCCTTGCAGATGTGTGATTATGGTGGGAATGCCTTACCCCAACATTAAATCTCCAGAGCTTCAGGAAAAAATGGCTTGGCTTGACAAAACAATGGTAACAGATTACACCTCTGCCTGTTTCATTTCTGCTTTATAGTATTAACTTTTCTCTCAGCACAGGCATGCAAGAGATGCCTTTGAAGGCTTTGTTTTGTTTTCTCTGAGCTTGCTGTGGTTTCCCAGACTGTGTGTGGTTTCCCAGACTGTGTGGTACCGAGAGCACAGCCTTCTCCAGGCAGCTCATGAACAGGTGGTGCCAAACACAGGGAAGAAGCTCACTGGAGGGAAATACCATCAGGGCTCACTGGGAACTCTGAGTTCCAAAGGGAGCAAGGACCCTTTACCCCAGAGGAGGTGGCAGGGTGGTAGAAGCTGCTTGCCAGGATCACTTGTCTTGGGTCATTTGTCCTTTCTTACTGCTCACTGGATGTGCTGTTCCCGAGCAGGTGGGGACAGGATTTCTGCCTTCAAGGGGACCATGGGCTGGCTTTTTGTGAATGCTCAACATAGTTTTCTGACTGCAGCCTTTCTTCTGTCCCTCCTTGCTCTCTGCTTGGGGTCTGCCTCTCCACCCACTCACTCTGCAGGGGTAAAAGCGTTTGCCTCACGTTGTCATTCAGACTCCCTAATTTGATTTACATCTGCCTCATGTTCAGACTTGCCTATTTCTCCTTTCCAGCCCAGAGCTGCTGGCCAGGCACCTAGCAGAGTGCTGATTGAAAACCTGTGCATGAAGGCAGTAAACCAGTCAATAGGTAATTCATCCTTCCTTGGACAGGCTGGGGGGTACGAAATGTGACAGCACTGAAGGAGCAGGGTGGGAGAAAGGAAGCATTACCCAGTCGTCTGGGTAATCGTACTTAGAGATGATGGGAACATGAGCCTCCTTGTCTGAGAACAAACACTTGACTGGGCCATTTTTTGTTTTTATGCTCTGTACAGGCAGAGCCATTCGGCACCAGAAGGACTTTGCGAGCATCCTGCTCCTGGACCACAGATATGCACGGCCTGCCATCTTTAACAAACTGCCACAGTGGATCAGGGAGAGAACCCAGGTGAAACCTGCCTTTGGATCAGCATTTGCAGAATTAAGAAAGGTCAGAACTTCTATCTCATTTACTGCTCCCCAGACTGTTTCCCACTGTGCCCATCCTGACTTGTCTCAAGTCTTCCCTTTAGAGTAAAGGGACAAACTGTCTGGTTTTGTGTGTTCCCAGTTCCATCGAGGGAAGTTGGATGCTTTGTGATGTGGCCCAGAGAACAGACGGTATTCACCTCTGTGAGTTGCACCTCTGAAAAATGGGTGAAGCAACACAATCTGCTTTTGTATACCATGGACTTTGTAAATCTCTGCATTCTGCCTCCTTTGTGGATGTTTGCTGTTCAGTATCTGAGCACTATGATGGTGAGACAGCCTTCAGCACCATAACCGGGAGGGAAACTGGTTGTAGGTCTGAGGCAGGTGAAGGTAGTAGCAGCAGGCTTCTATTTGTTTACAGCTGTTAAGGTTTTATTTAAATTGATTAAATACTTTCAAAACATTAAGTATGGGGAGCATAATTATTTTAACTGAATACATCTGTTTTTTCCCATCAACCACCACATGTAGGAGGCCTGATGGTCAATGACAACATAGAGCTTTTCACAGGAATTGTAAACTAGCAGGCCATTAGTTTGTGTCCTGTTGGAATAACACACAGCTGGAGTGGTAAGCCACAAGGCAGCTATGGGTAACATTTCTTATCCTCTTGCTTCAAGCTGTCAGTAGATTCAAAGAGCAGTTCATTCTTTCCAGGGGAATAAGGATATGGCCATAATATAGCACTTCTCCTGTGATCATGCTTAGGCAGAGGGTTGCTCTGTTCTTTCTACTGCTTAAGTTTTTCAATTAAAAGTAACTTTTTTAGGTTAACATTCCTGGGGTTCTTTCCAAGGTTATAGGTCAGTGCTGGAGGGCAGCAATAACAACAGGGACAGCTACATCATCCCACAGCCGGCTCCAGCTTGTTCTGTCATCCTGAGCAAGTTTCTTCCCAGGAGCTTCCTTTTCCTCTCTGCCCAGTTTCAGCAGCTGGATGCTACCTCTCAAGGCTCTTCACAATGAAGAATACTTAAAATTATGACACAAGAGCTGTTACCCACTCCCTGTATGTTAATTAGCCCCACAGGGAAAGAAAGAGCTGCCTATGAGAAACTTCCATTGTGAGTCTCCTGCCCCTTCAGAGGGTACCAACCCTGCACAAGCTCTGCCTGCCCCCCAGTGAAAGAGGGAGGGGGGGCACCTGCTTCTAGCTGCTGGTGCCCTCTGGCTTGTGGCTGGTGATGCTGTGCTGTAAGGCTGGTCCCCACCAGCCATGCGTGGACAGCTGGGCTTTCCCTTTCCACACCCTTAATTGATGACACTTCCCACTTTTACCAAAATGAAGGTGGAAGGACCTGCTTCTTTCAACTTTATTAAAATTTTCAGACAGCAGCAGATTGACACTAATGCTCAACTGACCCCATCTATGACTCCCAGTCATCCTCATCCTCCTCACCCACGGGCTGCTGTGGGGGTGGGAGGGGTGGAATTGAGTCCGACATGCGAGCAAAGGCACCGGCAGGACTGCCTGGAGCATCGGCATTCCCAGAGGCTCCTGGCCCTTTTCCTGAAATACCTGTGATGGAAGGAAAATCACCAGTAAGTGACACCCAGGGACTAGAGAACACACAGACTCAGCAAAGGGGAGGGGGAAAGCCATGCTCCCAGCACCCAGGTAAGCAGAGCTGCCAACACGTTCAGTGCTACCACAGTCCTGTGCCAAGGGCTCGTTTAAGTACAGCTCCACCTGAGCAAATCCCTGCTGTTCTCTGCCCAGCACTGAGGCATGGTCTGGCCCTAAATGCCCCTGGCTGGGCAACTCAGGTGCCCCCATGGGTGAGGGGTCCAGGTAGCTTTCAGAGTTCATCCTCTGACTGAGACACACAACCTCCTCCAGTGCCTCCAGCTGGACTTGAGGTGGAGATTCCTCTGCTCACCCTCTCTAAAGACACTCCCAGTCACACTGTGGTACACTTGCCAGGGAAGGTCTCTCTGTTCCTGTTTCTAAAGCTGTGGCTGACACAACTGAGGTGCCAGGAAACACTCTCCCTCTTTCCTAGGGGGAAGGAGCAGCCCACCCTGCAGGACAGTACCTTTGCGCCTCAGCACCAGTTTATTGAAGAGGTCTGACATCAAATCTCCACCTTGTCCCGTAGCTCTCACTGAAACAGGAGAATAAGTCAGTCAAGAAACACTAGTCTGACCCAAGCACTATGGCAAAAGCATTCCCCTGCAATACTACCTTCAGATTAAAGAAAAAAAAAACCCAAATCTCTATTCTTGTATCACATTCCAAAACTATAGCCCAGTTTCAGGTCAGAACACTAGGCACTGCAGGGTAATGCCATCTTCTGGGGAAATCCAAGAGTGGAATTCCTTGAGGGGCTGTGCATTTGCAGTCTCATTCTGCCAAACCAGCTCCATCACTCCCCTCCCCAGCTACCTCAGCCAAGGTGCTCAGACTGCTTCAGCCTTGCCCCTCTTGGCCCTGGGGTTTCATTTGTGTGCCTGCTCCCATGCAGCACACGGGAAACTTCTACATGTGTCCTGAGACAGAGCGTGCCTCTGTCAAGAACATGGATGCCCTGGCAGATGGGGTTCAGTGAGTTCACAGAATGGGAAACACCTGAGACCTACACAGGCCTGTGAGGAGAGAGAATCCCTTTCTGCTCTCTAAGTTCACTGTGCTCCTGACTTGCCCTCCTGCCCCCAGACCCACACCTCCTCAGCCTGGGGCAGAGAGCAAGGAAGAGCAGTTCTGCTGAAGGGCCTCAGCACCTTGTTCCTGTTCCTTCTGTTTCTTTTTCTCCAGCTTCCTCTCCTTGACACTGCGGAGGTTGGCCTTCCCAATGCCACCGGCCTGGCGGATGGACTCCAGGAGACTGGCACGCCCAGTAGAGGGGTTCACCACCTCCTTTGGGGCTCCCTGGACAGAAGCTGCAGGGACAGGAAGGACAGGCAGCACACATGGGTCAGTGCATCAGCTACAGGCCCAGCCAAATTCCAATGGAAAGGGCTACTCCAATACCCTGCCAGCCTCCCCACTCTACTGGAAGGCTGGGAAGGCACAGGAAACCACCCAAGGACACAGGCTGAAGCCGAGGAGTCAGAGTCAGACGGGGCTGAAGCTGGGGAGATGCCTAGCCCTTACCTGCAGGCACTGTGTTGCTGCTCTCCTCGCTCGCTGTCCGGGCTGGCTCTGAGGGGGCCGTGGGCTGGGGCAGGGGCGGCGGAGGAGGCACAGTGGTGGGCACAACAGGAGGCGGTGGGGGAGGCGGAGGGGGAGGAGGTGGCAATAGTTCAGCATCTTGAAGATCTGAAAGATGGAAGAAGATGTATCTGAAGGATCCCAGAGAATGGCACACTGTGGTCCCTCCTCCCAAGCCATGCAGAAGGTGAGGGAGGTAAGGGGCCTAAAGTCAGGCCAGCGCCTGAGCCAGCTGCAGCTTTCACTCAGTCCTAAGCACAAGCCAAAGGTATCTCCAACATCCATCTTAAAATCTCTACCAAGGGACTTTCTGCTTCATCTCCATCTTCTAGCAATCCCTGCCTTCCTCCTTCACAGGGTCCTGGGATCAGGGATTGGAAATACCTGGTTGCAAAGGCTCCACCAACTCAGTGTTGAAGGTGGGCAGCTCTGGAATAGCACTGCTGGGGGCAGACGGTGCAATGCCGGGGCCCAGGTCAGCGCTGTACATGAGATCTGCAGCGATGCCAGGCAGGTCTGGCAGGTAGGATGGCACATCAATCTCAGGGACCTGGCCCAGATCTGGCACATAGAAGTAATTTTCAGCTACCTAAAAGAAACCCAGACCAGCAAGATAAGGCAGTGACTATGCACTTGCAGCAAACAGGGGCACTGCAGGGAACACAGCTGCATCTCACCTGTCGGTCCAACTGTCCCCTTTTGGTGATGGAGAGAGGAGCATCAAAGAGCTTCTCTTCTGTCTCTGTTTCCAGAGCCACATGGGTCTTGGTCACTGCTCCAGCCAGAGGATCCAGGAAAACATACTTCTTGTACCTAAGAGTAGAGGACATGTATTTTAGCGATACTACCTCGAGAGCGAAGGCCAGAAGAAAGTGTATGCAAGAAGGCCTGACTTCATTCAAAAAGGTTGGGCCTTCCAGTTTCCTTCTTTTAGCCACATTTTCCAGCCTTTCCCCTCCACAAACAGGAAGCGATCAGCTCCCCACCCTGCCAGTGCAACCTCACAATCACCCTAAAGCAAACCCCACTGCAGTGCCACCATTGCCAAGCTCTCCCCTTTCCACCACCCAGCCTGAACCATCCCACAGCCTGTGGCAGGACACCAGTGACTTGTCACTCAAGGTCCAGGAGGAAAGACAAAAAGAGAAAATGATCCATGGCTCAGGAGAAGAAAGAGAAGATCCAGCAGCTGAAATCTCTAAAAGGGCTTAAAGAAGCTCCTCAATATGGGCAGAAGGAGGAACCATAAGGCAAAGCCCAATAATGGAAAAGGGAACTGCAGTGAGGGAGGAGATGGAGACATTGAAACAGTGAGGGCAGTCAAGTGATGCTGCAAGGAATCATCAGGAGAAGAAGCAGTACCTAGGCTGGCACAGAGCAGAGTGACAGCACATCTCAAGGCTGGAGAGAAATTACAGGGGAACAACAGGAAAAACTAAGTCGGGGACACGAAGTGCAAAACTGGGTTGAATGCAGATGAGTAGAAGATCAGGTGCAGATAAAACTCCCTCCACCCAAGGGAAAGAATGGGGAAGAGAGGGTTCCTAGCTGGAAGCCAGTGCAGATGTAGCAAACCTTGTCCTATCAGGAGCCTGATATGTAACACCCCCAGGAAAGCAAGCAGTTACTGCTACCCCTGGGGAAGGGAAAGCTCCTCTGAGGACAAGCAGGGGCAGGTGAGCAGCACAGCTCTGCTCCAGCTCTCACAGGTTCTCGGTGGTATTGAAGAGTAGCAGGGAGCTGAGGGAGCTGATGTTCCTGGGAAGGCTGCCAAGGCCTTCTTCTGCATCATCCTCCTGGTGAATTTTGGTGCTCAAGCACACGGGGAAATACTTGAGCTTTTCCTGCAAGAAAACAGATAACAGGTAGTAAGACACTAAAACCATGGTTGCTGAGGTAGCTCTCCCCAGCCACCACAACCCACACTGCTGGCTGCACAGTACGGTCTGGGAACCCTACTGCTTCCTCTCTACCTCCCTTTGAGGAAGGAAACACATGGACAACATTGCAACCCCACATTCATCACAAATCTTGGCAGTTCAGACTCATGGCATGTGCTTTGGGTGCCATGGATGGGTCATATCGAACACGTGTTGCTGCGGCAAGGACCCACCAAGATAAAGCCACCACTCAGGCTCTAGTCAGAGGCAGGGATCAAGCACAACAGTCTAAAAGGTGTTTGTTACAGTGTCTCCAACTGCTACACATTTTTATGCAGGCAGAGTCCCACAGACGTCTCTATTACCTCCCCTCTGCTGCCTTCAGTTGATGTTTTAAGAGCTGTGATCCCACTGTTGGGGTATGCAGGGAAGGCAAAGGAAAAAGAGGTTAGGAAAAAACAGAGTGCCTGCACTAGGCAAGAGATCAGGCAGAAAAGAGTGTGCAGGGTGGAACGTGTGCCAGATGGTTTTGCAAAGCCTGAGGGATTTGAGGGAGTTTTCAACTCTAATGAACTGAAATCTCCTCTCTCTCGGTTCTAAAACTTCATGCATAATATATATAGAACTCCCTTTAGAAAAGGACTTATTACATCTGAACTGCCTGACTTTTATAGAGCACAGGAATTGCCATCCCACATCAGACCAGTGTTTCAGCTGGCACGGCAGTGCCCACTGCCACATGCTCCGGGGGACGAAGCTCAGCGCCCACAGCACTCTTCGCTCTAGTGGGAGGAAAGGCATCAGTTCCTGAACCCAGAGACAGTTTGGGAGGGGAAAAACCACCACCTCAGACCCCTTCACACCCCTGAGCCCCTTCACAACTTCTGCTTTCTTCACAAACTAGGGCAAGCAGCAGCCTGGCAGCCGCAAGGCGGTAAGTGTTCATAACAGGAGAAACCAGAGCAGTTTGTCAGGTTAAATAACTGGCCACACTTGTGGTTTCCTTCACCAGAAGATGACCACTTTGAATATTGCCCACAGCTTCCTACAGCCTTACTACTTCCAGCATCTCTGCAGCATCCCATTCTCTGTATCATCTCTCCTTGTATTTGTATGGGGGAAATGGAGACCACCACTGGTTCAGTTTTAAGAGCACATCTCAGTGACACAAGCAGTTTGTCCTGTTTGAAATTTCAGTCTTGGATCTGGTAGCCAGAAATCCTAAGAAATGGCTTAGTCATAGCTCAGTTAATCCACTAGGAGTTTCTATGATGCTCTGAGTCTATAAAATGCTATAAGACCTGGGAGATTTTGATTTAATTCACGTTCCAACTTGTGAAATATACACTGAAATGAACATCTTGTATTTTTTTTTCAGAAGTAGGCAAAAATATACAAATTCTTATTTGGAGACTGTAGAAGCAGACACTCAAAAATAAAAGTTCTTTTGATCATTAATATTCGTTTCCCAATGTTTAATTTTTTAAGCATGAGGGAGTACTGACTTTTTTGCTAGAACTGTTCAGACACACTCAGCCCTAAAGTCATATATATATTTTTTTAATTCTCTCTTTGTGGATTTCAGTTAGCACTGGAAGACTGTGTGTCACTTTAAGGGCATAGTGAGAAACCAACCATTACCCACATTTACTTATAGGCCTCATCTAAGGCAGTTATAAAAGCACTAAGCATGAGTATTACTCTGAAACTTTTAATTTAAATGCCATCAAAGTGCTAGTCTTATTCGAGTACCTAGATCTGTTTTAAAATTTGGAACAGCTACACACTGTCAATAATATCCCACATCTGTAAATTCCAGAAGTTAACACGCCATTTAAAAAGTAGTTTTCTTATAGGAAGATTAAAGCCTTAAGCCAAAGTTCAGCAGCCTTGACATACTGAAGTCTTGAGGGATGCTTGAATGCTCAAACACCCCAGCATGGAGTTTGGTAACTGGCAGGATCACACCCCCAAGGACACTGCATTTTCAGGCATTTTTCTTCATAAGAACCTACAGTTAAAAATACATAAAGTCACCCTGGTTCTGAAGTTTAATTAAGCACACGGTATTACAAAGGGAATTGGTGTGATACACCACAAATCCCACTCTCCCATACCAAGGGAGTGCTTAGGCTATCTGGAAAAGCACTTCAAGATAAGCAAGTGGCAAAAACCTGGTTTAGCCTCCCCATGCCTATGGTGGGCTCTGAGAGAGGTAGAATTCCCAAGGACATGCCAAGTTACTGACATTTTTGAAGCCTAGCAAGGTTACTCCAGCAGCAGACTGTAACTTTTGCTTGTACCTCTTCTGAAGTCCAGGCAGACCATGTCTCCCACCCCATTTTTCAGTCTCCCAAGGGGCACGTGCAGCACCCATACACAGCTCCCACTGCAAAGGCAGGGCACAGAGCCTGGGAAGCTCCACAGGGCTGCAGCCAGCTCCCTGTTGAGCCCTGCCCAGCTGCTACCACAGCAATGTGCAAAGCAAGTGGCTTTCCAGGCTTACCACAAGGACTGTGTTTCTGGCACTCTAATCCATTAGTCCTTACCTTACCAACCTAAACAGTGTCCACTCGATGACTGAGTTTTCACTTGCTTGGGGTGGAGGGGGAAAGAAAAAATTCCAAGGGGGGAACCATTTTCAAATAAACTGCAGAACCACACAGATTTCCAGCTCAGCTGCTTTCCCCCCTGAGCACAAACCCTAAATGCTGAGCACAGGCTGCCACTGCTTACTCTCAAACCGACAGGAGCAGAGTTTGCTTTCCTGGTGGGGCATGTGTGAGTGGAGTAAGAGAAGGCCACTGTGATTGCTCCCAGCAAAGAGGCCCTCATTAGAAGTGAAAACAGGCAGTGAGCCTCTGCTGAAAGCTCTAAATAATTGAGGAGGGCATAAATGCAAACATTAGACTTCTCCCTGCCACATTTCATTACTGCAAGGCACATCGGGCTCTGTGCTCAGCTGTGGTTGAGAAGGGTCTGTCCCACTGGAGCACGGTCAGAGCTCGGCCACACCAAACACCACTCAACACACCAACTGCTCCTGGTGCAGGGCCCTCCATCATTCACCAGTTGGAAGCAGCATCCCCCCATCCCACAGAAGACATGAAGGAGCTCATGTGTGTGAGCCTGACAAGAGTGACCAGGCTCCTGCATGATGCAGGGTCAGCAAAGCCAGAGAAAGATCAACAGCCACACAGGACGATCAAAAGATGGGTCACAGGAGGGGAACAACAAACACAAACATCCCCCAGGGCCTGAAACAAAGTCCCTGTGGGGATGGCAGCTTTAGTCACAAAGGGCAGAACATGGCAAAGGTATGGAGACTGGCATTGCAGGCAGATGGCTGTGGAGAAAGGCTTGCACAGCCTGCTGGAGCCAGCAGGCCAGTTGAACAAACACACCATTGGCTCTCTGCAGGACACTGCTTTCTACCAGCTGAAGCTCTTCTCAATTCCCTCCTGTCTGAGGGGCTATACATTGGCACCAGCCCTTCGGGGCAGGGACACATCTCCCTGTCCACTCACTGCTCACTGCCTACCTCTGCCCCCCCCATGCTCTGATGGGACAGGGCCACCAGCCAGACAGCACCACTAACTGGCCTCCCAAAGGCTGGCAGCAGGTCCCATGCAGCTCTGCCCTGCCCTACTGCCAGGACCCGAAGGAAGCAGGGACCCTGCTCGAGGTTGCCAGCTGTCCAGTCAGCCAGCAGCCCTGCTTCCTTGGCCTGGCTGAAATATTCATAACTACCTCACTGTGTGAGGCCTCAACGCCATTAACACTCAGGAAAGTTTAGCATGATAAATTATTCAGTGGCAGCTTTATTTTTGGGCCAAGTCACACATGGATTAGGAAGGAAGTCTCTTTAGGGGTGGAAAGCAGGGAAGTTGTCAAGTTGATCCCTTAACCTGCCTGGAACAGCACATTTGCTACTCCTGACAGAGCACATACACATCAACTTTTAAACTTTAAGCACGTCAACTTTTCCTCCTGTCCTTCCAACCCAGGGATGTTGACCCAAATTGTTGAAGAATCCTTTGGTAGCACTTCCTGCCAAACCCATTGCTTCTCAGACCTCCCTAAAACCTCCCCTCTCTGCCACTCAATCCACAGGTTAAAAGGGAACTCAAAAGTTCAGAACCTCCTTCAATGACACCAGCTGCAGGCATCTGTGCTATGGGCACACCTGGAAGCCCCAACTGGGCTGAGAGATTCAGCCCCTCTGAAGACTTGAAATCTACAACAGATGAGCTACATCTATTGTACGTAGGCAAAGGAAAAGCAAAGCACAAACTAAAGAAGCAGCAAAATGATCTTCCCTCCTCCCCAAGATGTACAACTTTGCTGGGAACCAGGAAGGGACAATATCCAAGTGCAACAATTTCCAATGCTCTAATGAGGGACTTCTTTTTCTCCTGACACACTCATAATCTTTCTTATCTTTCCCCTCTCACCATCGCTTACATCAGAGCCTTCAGAAACTACTTTCTAAACAGCTATGACCCTGATCCCAGATATACACAGTCGAAGGATTAAGCCCAGGCAGCAGCACCCACCAACAATTGCTGCAGAAAAGAGCATTTCAGGAAATGGAACTGCTCCAGAGAGTTGGCAGCTGACAGACACCCAGAGCACTCAACCACCCAGACAAGGTCTTGTACTGACACAGCCCTCTCAAACTGGCATCTCCACAAGCTTCCCAGCCTAATCTCACATCCTTTCACTGACAGACCAAATGAAAATATGTTCTGCTCCCAGCCCATATCCCAAAGCCTTGATCCACTTTGTCAAAGAGACTAACAGCCTCCCAGCTTCTTTTTGCTTGTTCGTGCCAAGGTCTGTTCCCCTCCCCCTTACCTGCAGAGCTTTCTCATCCAGCATTCGATGTTTGCTCTGAATCTTGTGCCTTGGCCCCTTCTGTTTAGCTGGGTCTTCTGCACCAGCAAAAATTGAACTGTACTCCTGCAGCCGTTCAGGGGCTGGGTACTTGGCACTGGAAAATACCTGTGGAGAAACAAGGAGGGACTGAAACAACCCAACAGCTGGGAAATTCTACAACACAGAAACACGTGGAATGGAGTGAGCACCCCATCTGTGCTGCCAATGGGAATGGACAGTCTTGGAGACAGCAAGCTCCTAACAGTTATGTGCATGGACTGCCACTTCTGAAACCGGAAGTGCCAGAATCTCTCTATAAAAGTAAAAGGAGATCATTGGCAAAAATGCTTCCACTGGCAGGAAAGGAGTTGGAAATACTGTATAAAATGGAGCAAAAATGGTGAAAGGAGGATTTTCACCAGTTTTACATGGCTTAATGGGATTAAGATGCACTAAGGGGAGGCTCTCTAACAGCAGCTTTCATTCAAATAGCCAAACTGCCTATGAGTCTGAAGTGCGAGGGTGTTGGGCTTACTCAGCACACGCCTTTCATCTTTCTCAGGAGGCAGCTGGGACAGAAACCTATAAAGGTCCCATAAAGCCTGGGGCTGTGTGGCTCATGGGCCTAAAAGTCATCAGTTGGCCAAGTCAGGAATGGGATTCTCATCACAACCCTGCTCAGCAGCAAGGCATGGAGTGGTGAGTGAGCAGCAGCTGTGGTGGCTGAGCACCCTTTCTTCACCAGAGCTTACATCAGGGGTACAGAGAGAAGGTGGAGGGAAGAAAGGAAACAGTGCAGCCTTCACTGAAGTCACTACCTTAATAGCCTTTTTGCTGCCCTTTATCTTCTCAATCTTCGCTTGGGCGAGTGTGACTCTCTCACCAATTGCCTGAAGTTGTGCCCGGCTGGCCTCCACCCGCTGAGAGATCCTAGGAAGCAAGCACATTTCCTAGGATGAAGAATCCAGAATCAGCGATTTTTAGGCAACAGCCAGTGCCCAGACCCTCAGAGAAGGATGCAAGTCTCAGTAGACTGGGTTGTTTCAAAGGGCAAAACAAAGTGCTGGTTGAGACACACTCATCTCCATCCCACTGAGAGCTTTATGTACTCCGACATGACACGAAGTAGGGCTAGTCCGTGACTCACAGCACAATGTTCCTGAGGCTGTTTAAGGCACAGAAAGATGGAAAACTGCAGCTTTTTTGCCAATGCCAGAGGGCCACAAGCCTCTCTGCAGGTACTGCTGACGAGAAAGCCACAGCCAGTTATCAACTGCCAACATATTTTTAATAAAAATGACTTGTCACAAGTGAAAGGCAACACATGTTAACGAGCAGAGTTCAGGACTCACATGGCTTATACTGTCCTCTCCTGCACCAGTAGATCGTTACACAACTTTGTCTATGTTGCTTAGCAGTTTTGTGATTTGGTTTCCACATCAGTTAAACAAGATTAGGTCCTCATTTGGAGAAATGAAGCACGATAATGTGCATCATTTTTGCATGACTAGATGTGCTGGTTTTGGTTGGGGTAGAGTTAATTTCCTTCATAGTAGCTGGTATAGGCTTGTGTTTTGGATTTGTACTGGAAACACTTGATAACTCAGGGATGTTTTGGTTACTGCTGAGCAGGGCTTGCATAGAGCAAAGGCCTTTTCTGCCTTTCACCCCACCCCACCAGCGAGTGGGCTGGGGGTGCACAAGGAGTTGGGAGGGGACACAGCCAGGACAGCTGATCCTGACTGACCCAAGGGATATTCCATTCCATATGGAATCATGCTCAGCATATAGACTAGGGGGAAAGTTGGCTGGGGGCCACTGCTCAGGGCCTGTCTGGGTTTCAGTCAGTTGGTGGTGAGCAATTGTTTTTCATTCACATCACTTGTCTTTCTTGGGGTTTATTTCTCTTCCTTTTATGCTATTTCCCTTCTCATTACAGTATTATTATCATAATATTTTATTTCCATAAACTGTTCTTATCCAACCCATGAATTTTCTCACTTTTACCCTTCCAGTTCTCCACCCCCCCAGCCTGCTGGGGGCAGGGTGAGCAAGGGGCAGTGTGGTGCTTTGTTGCAGGCTGGGGATAAACCATGACACTAGATCAGCATCAAAATGCTTTGGGACTGAGGTGAAAAGCACTCTGTGGCAAGAGGGGAGAGCAGACACTGGTTAAATACCTCTGTGTTCACCACGTGGACATATTCCTTTCCCACAAAGCCTACAGTAGAGACCTTGCAGCCAGGGGCACAGCCAAAACTGCCTGCATGTCACGCACAGTGGCTGCCATGCTGCGGGAACTGTCACACAGGTTCAACTAGAGGTTAGGAGGGACAGTGGGAGCAGACATCAGCTACAGGAAACTACAGAGTCACCCTCTCAGAAGAGATCTTCCTTCCCCATGCACGACCAGCAGGTTCTCCCTAGCTTCAAGCTCAGAAGCTGAAAAGTGTTCTGAACATTCACCTCTCCAATGAAACCAGCAAAGAGTACTTTTATGGCTATACAACCCATTAGGAGAGAGAGCACTCCACTTCACCTGTGTTTTGTAGCAATGAGTTCCATCAGAGCATTCTGTGCCTGTAAAAATCAATCTCAAGTACTGTCTTTCAATTTCACCAAAAGTCCCTCTTTGCTTTTGAGAGAGCTCTCACACTTTTTTTCTGCTCTGTCTGTATAAGTCCCTTCAGCAACAAATTTGACATCAGCAGTGATCCATGATTCCCAATTTCAAACTGTATCAAATCCATCTTTTCAAATATTTTCACCCTGTGCAGCACATTCCCTATTACAGTACAGAAATGGACTCACTAAAGCCCCCCCCCCCAACGCAGGTAGTGAAAAACAGCCAATACAAACCTGTTTTACTTTGTATCATTCTGAAAGTACCCCACTTTTCACTAAACAGCTTTAAGTGTTTCTGTTTGTTATAGCCATGCTCCCCTGTTCCTGGAAGCATGAAAAACCTTCCTTATGCATATGGCAGGATAACACACAGCCTGTTTCCACTTTATTCTGTTTGGAGTAGGAGACGAGCAAAACTGAACCTCATGAGATTCTCCCTCTCAGAATTATTCTCCATTTCTCCATCCTTTTATTTTAAACACAGTCTAACAGCTTGTATTTTGTACCAACACTGAGTACAAATCTGTTCATGATTTTCTTCCCACATCCTCCCTCTGCCTGAGTGGAGTAAGTCCACATCACTTATACACTTGATAGGTTCTCAGAGTAGTTTCTGTTGTTCCTTTCAGTGTGCATTTTCTAGCACCTGTCTGCAGCAAGTTTTATGTGTCATAGGGCTGTCCCATTGCCTGGTTTTGTTCAAGTGTGAGATGCCTCTGAAGTACCTAAGTCTTCCCTAACTGCTCTCCCCAGAACATCTTCCCATCTCACAGTTCGTCTCTCTTCTAGAAGTTTCATAATTGTATTGATTGACACTATTTCCAGTACTGCTCCTGGGGGCACCTGACTATTTTTTCTTCCTTCAAAACTGAAAAAACCCCAGACATTTATTTCTGCTTTGCTGCTTTCCCTTAAATCAATGATGCAATTTTCTCTCTCACCTGTGAGTAGACCTCTCTCCTAGAAGAACTCAACGAAGCTTTCCTGAAGCTCCACATAAAAGCAAGGTATCAATTGCCTTTTAGCCAATACCCTGCTGACTCCCAGACACAATTTTCAGGACCTGACAGGGCACATGTTTCTCTCCCAGAAGGAAGTGTTAAGCAAGCAGTTATGCAAGCTCAGACCTAGAAACCAGTAAGTGTTCTCCTTCCTTCCACTCCATGAATGTGAGTGGGTCAAATGAGGCAGTGAAATGCTTCCCTCGCTCCCTTTCCTGCCCCACATCATCCTCACTGCTTCACCAGGTATCAACCTCTTCCTCTCCCTTGCCTCACTCAGTGTTTTGCTAGCTGTGAAGAAGCAAAGGAGTTTTTGAGGAATCCCAGTTACACTTACCTTTCACTCTTAACCCCTCCCACATTTAACTCTCATCCTCCCAAACACCTGTGTAGGAGAGGAACAGTGCCACAACTCCCTTTACAGCCCCACCAAACACAGCAGTGCATTGGCTATTCCAAAGGGCTTCTCAGTGCCAGACTCCTCATCCCTCCTGTAGCACAGTCAGCACCATGGGAATAACAGAGAGCAAAGCACCTCTCAGTCCACTGTGCTGCACACACCTTTCTCATTTAAAATTTGCTGGAACCTCTCTTAAAAAGGAAACAGCCCTAAAACCCGGACATGACTGGCAATTACTGTGTCCTAGCTGCAACAGTAATGGTGCATCCATAAGGAAAGAGGGAAGACATCCAGAGTTTCATCCATCCCTACTGCCCACCAAATATGATCAGTAAAAGGGCAGTATCAGGCAGACAGCCCACTCCCAGCACAGGCTGGGGAAGTTGTCCAGTGGCAGCTCAGGTGTTTCAAACCATGATGGCTCTTCCCCAAGGCACTCTGTACTCTCTTCTGTGACCTGCTACTCTAGGATTTGACAGGCCAAATCCCACTGACCTTAGGAGTTCTGCCAAAAACCTTCACCTGAGGTGGTACAGATGCAGGCCCACAACACTGAAGGAATACACATCAGTCTACAGAATTAATTTATTTGTTGCTGAACAAGATAACTTTTAAAATAAATATTAAACCTCCTCAATCCAACTAATCCAAATTCCATCATATCTACAGCCTCCTAGAAGTGCATGACTGTTACGCATGTACAGTTCAAGATACAGCTGCATGTGTTAGTTAAAAGAGACAATATACTGTACTGATCCAGAAAAAATACATGGAGAAAAACCCCTTGTGTTCAATCATCCTCCAGTCATTTTAGTATTTCTACTGCTGTGGAAACTGAACTTACTCTACGGGTCAACCAGTGTTTGTAAAGAAAGGAAAGAGAAAGGGAGGGAGGGATGTTGCCAAGGATTTCAGGAGCAAAGTGCTTGAAGCAAGGTGGCATTCGGAGCTCGTCACTGAGCAGTGTTTGGTTGAAGGGCAATTGCACTCAGGACAGCAGGGGTAAGTGTTCATAAAACACCCATTGCTGCCCCTCAGAACCCTTTGCTCAGACAGCCAAAGCCACCATCAGCGTCTGAGCCTACCCCATGCCTAAGTTATTAGTCACTGCTGTGTTATTTTGCTCTCCGTGCTCTCTTCTGCTTGAGAAACGCCTTTAGTTACATTCAATGTGACTTTGGAGTTGCGAAGAAGCAGGAGGCTACAGCAACAGCCCCCCCCCCCGTTTCATCAGGATGTGCTCCCTTTGGGACAAGTGAACAGGAGGCCTGTGGAAAAAGAATAATCACCTACCTTCAAATCCCGGGCACTGAGCCAAATCAACCCTCCCCTCCCAATGCTTTTCTTTGGGGAAGTAATACATGTGGTAGATTAAATCTATCTAGTGGATTATCTCTTAATCCATACAGACTTTTATTTTTGATCTAAGCAGATATTAAAGCCAATCTTTCAGCTGCTTTGATTCAAGCTTTCACTTTCTCTTGTACCTCTGAAATCTTTTTGCCCTCAAGCTCCCTGCACCTCACCCCCAACTTAGATCTTGTTTCTCCATTCTCCTAAGGCCCTCATCCTGCTGCCTTAAACTCCTCTCCATTTTACAGGCAACTCTCTCCAACACCACAGCAAGTTCCAGGAATATTTCCTCCCAGATCACTGCCCCTCTCGTCTGTCCCGCCGGCAGCCACAGAGCAGATGACTTCTTGTTTCCTTATAACTCCCCTGATATATCTCACATTCAGGCAGCTACTGGAAGACCTCCTCTGCTGCATCTGTGTCTACTTCTGGGGTAAAAACTACTGTTCTCTTGCTCCCATAGGAAAAAGATTTGAAGCATTAGGAATCTGACCTCCAGGACACTGAATACTGCCTGACAGTCATCAGCACTGGCAATAATGCTACATTTC